CTGCGGCGAAGGCGCGAGCTGGCCTCCAGGCTGCCAGGATGTGGTCGTTCGCTGGGGGCACTTTGCTGCCAGCCGGGGAGCGGTTCGTTTCGGCTCCAGGCGAGGATAACGCTCACAATTCTGCGTTGAAGGCAGCGCGGGTCGAAGTGAATGCCCCGACGGCGTCGTACAGCTGGTCTACCGCTTATGCCCAGGGAGGCGTAATATCCTCCCAGCCCGACCGCCCGCGCGCGCTCCTCCTCCTCCTCCTCCTCCTCCTCCTCGAGAACGGGGGATTGTGGAGTCCCTGTGGTTCCAAAGCGCGCGCGCAAGGCTTTCGCGCTTAGTTCGCGACTGTTTCTGTGCAAACTCTGTTCTGTGTCGTCCTCCTCCTCCTCCTCCTCCTCCTCCGCCTCCTCCTCCTCTTCCTCCTCCTCCTCCTCCTCCCTCTCCCCCTCCTCCTACCTCTCTGCCTTTTTTTATCCTGGCGTCCCCGCCCCCCCACCCCCAGAAAATTACCCTGGCGACGTGCCCAACCCCTGCGCAAACGCGGGGCGCAAATCGTTTAGGACACTTTATAAAGGGGGCGATGACGGAACGAGGGTTACATATGTCTGCAGACGGAATTCGGGACACTCGCAGGACACTGGCTACAGGACAAGGACTAGATAAAGCTGATTAGTTACAACCCCTGAGCAACCCTAGCCACTTCGAAGGCGAGGATCTCAGATCGCAGCCCCCCCCCCCAGGGATGGCGAGGTCTAATTTGGCTCCGCGCGTGGCGACACTGTGCTGGGCCCCCCCAGCAGGCCTCGAAAGTGGCGACAGTTTCACAGAGCGCAGCCCCCCAGGGATGGCGAGGTCTAACTTGAATCTGCGTGTGGCGTCAGTGCTGGCCCCCCCAGCAGGCTTCGAAAGTGGCGACAGTTTCACAGATCGCAGCCCCCCCCAGGGATGGCGAGGTCTAATTTGAATCTGCGTGTGGCGTCACTGTGCTGGGCCCCCCAGCAGGCCTCGAAAGTGGCGACAGTTTCACAGATCGCAGCCCCCCCCCCCAGGGATGGCGAGGTCTAATTTGAATCCGCGGTGAGTACCCACTGGCTGGGCCCCCAGCAGGCTTCGAAAGTGGCGACAGTTTCACAGATCGCAGCCCCCCCCCCCCGGGATGGCGAGGTCTAATTTGAATCCGCGGTGAGTACCCACTGTGCTGGGCCCCCCAGCAGGCCTCGAACGTGGCGACAGTTTCACAGATCGCAACCCCCCAGGGATGGCGAGGTCTAATTTGAATCCGCGGTGTGTACCCACTGTGCTGGGCCCCCCAGCAGGCCTCGAAAGTGGCGACAGTTTCACAGATCGCAGCCCCCCCCAGGGATGGCGAGGTCTAATTTGAATCCGCGGTGAATGCCGACTGTGCTGGGCCCCCCAACAGGCTTCGAAAGTGGCGACAGTTTCACAGATCGCAGCCCCCCAGGGACGGCGAGGTCTAATTTGAATCCGCGGTGAGTACCCACTGTGCTGGGGCCCCCAGCAGGCCTCGAAAGTGGCGACAGTTTCACAGATCGCAGCCTCCCAGGGACGGCGAGGTCTAATTTGAATCCGCGGTGAGTACCCACTGTGCTGGGCCCCCCAGCAGGCCTCGAAAGTGGCTACAGTTTCACAGATCGCAGCCCCCCCAGGGATGGCGAGGTCAAGGGCAGGGGGGGAAGAGAGGGACGGGAAGGAAGGAAGGAAAGTTCGCGCGAGCAGTGCTCTATTCAAAACGAGAACCCAACGCAGGAGGGTTGGGAAAAACACACAAAAACATTTGTTTTTCTGAGGGGGGGGGGGGCGCCAGGAAAAAAAAGGAATGCGACGTGGCCACATCTGCCCTCCCCCCTAGAAGGATTCCTTTTGACCGCCCCCAGAAGAAGGATTCACAATGAAATCCTCGACAGACGGGTTCCTATCGAAACCCTCCACTGAATGATTCCTATTGAAATCCTCCACATGTGGATTCCTACTGAAACCCTCCACTGGATGACTCCCACTGAAATCCTCGAATGGCAATGACAATAGCAATGGCAATGGTAATGGTAATGGCAATGGTAATGGTAATGACAATGGTAATGGTAATGGTACTGGTAATGGTTACGGTAATGATAGTGGTAACGGGGTAGCGAGGCAATGACACTGGCAATGGCAACGGTGATGGTAATGGTAATGACAATGGCAATGGGGATGGCGATGACAATGGCACTGGCAATGGCAATGGTAATGGTCATGGCAATCGTAATGGTACTGGTAAGGGTAAAGGTGCAGGTAGATGTACAGGTAATGGTAATGGTAATGGTAATGGTAATGGTAATGGCAATGGCAATGGTAATGGTAATGGGACTGGGAGTGGGAATGGGAAAGGGAACGGAAATGATAGTGGTAGTGGTAATGGTGTTGGAATGGAAATGGTAATGGTAATGGAAATGGTAATGATATTGGGAATGGGAATGGGAATGATAATGGGAATTCTAATGGTATTGGCAGCGGTAATGGTAAAGGCAATGGCAATGGGAATGTGAATGGAAAGGGTACTGGCAATGGTAATGGTAGTGGCGAATGGCAAAGGCAATGGCAATGGCAATGGTAATGGTAATGGTAATGGCAATGGTAATGGTAACGGGGTAGCGATTGGCAATGGCAATGCCAATGGCAACGGTAAGGGTAATGGTAATGACAATGGCAATGATATTGGCAATGGCAATGGCAATGACAATGATAATGGCCATGGTAATGGCAACGGCAATGGTCAATGTAATGGTAATGGCAATGGTAGTGGGAATGGGAACGGGAATGGGAATGTGAATGGGAATGGGAACGGGAACCGGAATGGAAATGGTAGTGGTAGTGGCAACGGAAATGGGAATGATAAGGGTAAGGGTAAAGGTAAAGGTAGAGGTAAAGGTAATGGTAATGGTAATGGAAATGGAAATGGAAATGGAAATGGAAATGGTAATGGTCATGGGAAAGGCAATGGAAATGGTACTGGCAATGGTAATGGTAATGGTAGTGGCTAATGACAGTGGCAATGCGAATGGTAATGGTAATGACAGAGGTAATGGTAATAGTAATGGTACTGGTAATGGTAACGGTAATGATAGTGGTAACGGGGTAGCGACTGGCAGTGGCAATGACAATGACAATGACAATGGCAACGGTAATGGCAATGGCAATGGCAATGGCAATGGCAATGGCAATGGTAATGGCCATGGCAATGGGAATGGTAATGGTGATGTGAGTGGGAATGGGAACGGGAATGTGAGTGTGAATGTGAATGTGAATGGGAACAGGAATGGAAATGGCAGTGGCAGTGGTAAGGGAAATGGGAATGGTAAGGGTAAGGGTAAAGGTAGAGGTAGGGGTAATGGTAATGGTAATGGCAGTTGTAATGGTAATGGTAATGGTAATGGTATTGGTATTGGGAATGAATCGGAATGGTAATGGTACTGGCAAAGGTAATGGTAGTGGCGAATGGCAATGGCAATGGCAATGCTAATGGTAATGGTAGTGGCGGATGGCAATGGTAATGGTAGTGGCGAATGGCAATGGCAATGGCAATGGTCATGGCAATGACAACGGTAATGGTAATGGTACTGGGAATGGTAATGGTGACGGTAACGGTAATGGTTATGGCAATGGTAACGGGGTAGCGACTGGCAATGGCAATGGCAACGGCGATCGCAATGGTATTGGTAATGGAAATGGCAATGGGAATGGCAACGGCAACGGCAATGGCAATGGCAATGGCCATGGTAATGGTCATGGTCATGGTCATGGTCATGGTCATGGTCATGGTAATGGTAATGGTAATGGGGATGGGAATGGGAATCGTAATGGTCATTGGAACGGGAACGGGAATGGAAATGGCAGTGGTAGTGGTAATGATAATGCCAATAGTAATGGAAATGGTACTGGCGACGGTAATGGTAATGGCAATGGTGATGGGAATGTGAATGGTGGTGGCAGCGGTAATGGTAATGGTAATGGTAATGGTAATGGTAATGGTAATGGTAATGGTAATGGTAGTGGTAATGGTAATGGCAATGGTGTTGGTAATGCTAATGGTAATGGCAATGGCAATGGTAGTGGCTAATGGTAACGGTAATGGAAATGGTAACGGTAATGGTAACGGGGTTGCGACTGGCAATGGCAATACATGGCAATGGCAACGGCACTGGTAATGGCAATGGAAATGGCAATGGGAATGTCAATGGCAATGACAATGGCAATTGTAATGGCCATGGTCATGGCAATGGTAATGGTAAAGGTAAAGGTAAAGATAAAGGTAAAGGTAAAGGTAATGGTAATGTGAATGGGAATGGGAATGGGGATGGGAATGGTAATGGTAATGATATTGGGAATGGGAATGGGAATGGAATGGGAATGGGAGTGGGAGAGATTGAGAGAAGAGAGAGAAAGCGAGAGAGGAAATATCATAATAATGATGTGGAGCAACGTGAAAGATCGTAACAAAAATCGTCTGAAACCCACAGGGACTTCACAATCCCCCGGCCTCTCCTCCTCCTACTCCTCTTCCTCCTTGCTCTTCCTCTCCCCACTGCTCCCCGAGGGGGTTCAACAGTGGCTGGGGGTCGGCCCATCGTTGGGCCCCGTCGACGCTTCCGAAAGGCAGTGGGTGGCGGTGGTTCGCCGCAAGCGTCTGAGATATGGTATTTTCCGCCGCGGGCGACGCCTGTCTCGAAGAGGCTGGGAGGCTCGCGCGCCCCATGCCGGCATGTGAGGGTATGTTTCTCCCGGCCGCCATGAGACAGGCGCCCCCCGCAGCGGAGCACTTGCCCCTCGTCCACCAACTGTCGACCGCGGGGTGGGCAGGAGAGGAAGGCGGAGCGAGGCGGAGCAGGGCTGGAAGGAGGGGGAGGGGGAGGAGCGACGAGGGGGAAGAGATGACGAATCAAGGCAACATTCCCCATCCCCCAGCAGCGTGCCTTCGGACTCGGCGCCCGCTGCCCCGCGGGCCCCCCCGGCGAAGCCTGGGCCATCGCCTCCCTGACCTCCTCCTTGCTCCTCGCGCTGGCCCCATCCTCGGTCTTGGCCTCGGCCTCGGCATTTGCCTTCGTTTCAGCTTCCTGCTTCTCCCCCGCCACGGTTTCAGCCTTGGCTTTCGCCTCGGCCTCCTGGTTGGCCCTCGCCCCGGCCCCCTGGTTGGCCTTCGCCTCGGCCTCCTCCTTGGCCCTCGCTTCGAGTTCAGCCGTTGCTTTCGCCTCGGCTTCAGCATTGGCTTTCGCATCGGCCTCTTGCTTGGCCCTCGCTTCGGCCTCCTCCTTGGCCTTCGCTTCGGCTGCCTTCTTGGCTGTGGCCTCGGCCTCCTCCTTGGCCCTCGCCTCGGCCTCCTTCTTAGCCCTCGCCTCGGCTGCCTCCTTGGCCCTCGCCTCGGCCTCCTGCTTGGCCCTCGCCTCGGCTGCCTCTTTGGCCTTCGCTTCAGCCTCCTGCTTGGCCCTCGCCTCGGCTTCGGCCTTGGCCTTGGCTTCGGCCTCCTGCTTGGCCTTCGCCTCAGCCTCCTTCTTGGCCCTGGCCTCGGCCTCCTTGGCCTTCTCTTCAGCCTCTTGCTTGGCCTTCGCTTCAGCCTCCAGCTTGGCTTTCGCCTCAGCTGCCTCTTTGGCCTTCGCCTCGGCGTCAGCCTTGGCTTTCGCCTCAGCTGCCTCCTTGGCCCTCGCCTCGGCCTCCTCCTTGGCCCTCGCCTCAGCCTCCTGCTTCGCCCTCGCCTCGGCTTCAGCCTTGGCCCTCGCCTCGGCCTCTTGCTTGGCCCTCGCCTCGGCCTCTTGCTTGGCCTTCGCCTCGGCCTCTTGCTTGGCTTTCGCCTCGGCTTCAGCCTTGGCCCTCGCCTCGGCCTCTCGCTTGGCCTTTTCCTCGGCCTCTTGCTTGGCCTTCGCCTCGGCCTCGTGCTTGGCTTTCGCCTCAGCTGCCTCCTTGGCCCTCGCCTCGGCCTCTTGCTTGGCCCTCGCCTCGGCCTCCTGCTTCGCCCTCGCCTCGGCCTCTTGCTTGGCCTTCGCCTCGGCCTCTTGCTTGACCCTCGCCTCGGCTTCAGCCTTGGCCCTCGCCTCGGCCTCTTGCTTGGCCTTCGCCTCGGCCTCTTGCTTGGCCTTCGCCTCGGCCTCTTGCTTGGCTTTCGCCTCAGCTGCCTCTTTGGCCTTCGCCTCGGCGTCAGCCTTGGCTTTCGCCTCGGCCTCCTGCTTGGCCCTCGCCTCGGCCTCCTCCTTGGCTCTCGCCTCATCAGCCTCCTGTTTCGCCCTCGCCTCGGCTTCAGCCTTGGCCCTCGCCTCGGCCTCCTGCTTCGCCCGCGCCTCGGCCTCTTGCTTGGCCCTGGCCTCGGCCTCCTTGGCCTTCTCTTCAGCCTCTTGCTTGGCCTTCGCTTCAGCCTCCAGCTTGGCTTTCGCCTCAGCTGCCTCTTTGGCCTTCGCCTCGGCGTCAGCCTTGGCTTTCGCGTCAGCTGCCTCCTTGGCTTTCGCCTCAGCCTCCTGCTTGGCCCTCGCCTCAGCCTCCTGCCTCGCCCTCGCCTCGGCCTCCTCCTTGGCCCTCGCCACGGCTTCAGCCTTGGTTTTTGCCTCAGCTGCCTCCTTGGCCTTCGCTTCAGCGCCGGCCTGGAGAGCCTGCTGGACCTTCGCCTCGGCCTCCTGCTCGTCCTTCGCATCGGCTTCTTGCTTGGCCTTCGCCTCGGCGTCCGCGGCTTTCGCCACCACGCGTGCAGCCTGCGGCGACACCTCCTCGGTCGCACACCGCCGCCGCGCCTCCTCCGCGGCCCTCTGCTCCACTTTCGCCTCCTCTGCCGCCTCGTCGCTGGGCAGCCCCTCTGCGTCTTCGCCGTCCTCGGACGCCTCCCGCGGAGCGCTGGCTCCCTGGGCGGCCGCTGCTTCCAGACGGGCTCTCCGCTTTGCCTTCTTCGCCCTGCGCTCCGACGAGCTCTTCGTCCGCAGCTGCGCCCTCCTGGTCTGCGCCTCCGCGGCCTCCCTGGCCCTCGCCTCGGCCTCCTCGCGTGCCTGCCGCCTGGCCTCCTCCTTGGCGGCCTCCTCCCCTTCCCGGCGCTCGGCCTCGCCCTTGGTGCTCCTGGCGGCCTCGTGGGCCGCGAGGCGACCTGCCTCCTCCGTGGCTCTCCTGGCAGCCTCCCCATCATCCTCCCGCCGCTCGAGCACCGCGTCCGGCTGCCTGCGCTCCGCGTCCTTCCTCGCGTTGAACTCCTCCCTCCTCTTGAGCAGGGACCGACCGCCCGGGCATTCATGTAGGCCTGCCACGCAATTTTCTTAGAACCCCCAAACGTTCTGATAACAAAAGCAATGTTCTTAGAACATATACCGATGTGCCAAATCAGGGCAGTCTCAGACAGACACGTTCTGATAACATCGCGTGCAGACCACCAAATGTTCTTAGAACATTATTTGGTGGGACTATAGGCGAACCAGGACGCTTCGCCACTGCTAGAAAGAACAAACGCCATAAACAGAAACTTCTGGCGCTCCGCGCGGATTTTCTGGATCCGCGCTGGACCACCCTCCTTGGCGCGCGGAGCGCAGCAGAGGCGGCGCCAGAGGCGCCGCCAGGGAGGCCCAGCGCGGATCCAAGAAATCCGCGCGGAGCGCCAGCAGTTTATGTTTATGGCGTTTTATCTTCTTCGAACTGCTTGATCCTCCTCCTCTTCGAGGAGCTCATCTTCCTCCGCGCCGCGGGCCGCTTCGCAGACGCCCCCTGGCCCGCGCCCTCCTCCAGCGGCGCCGCACGCCCCTGGGCCGGAAGAACCGCTGTTGCACCGAGGGCTGCGGGCACCTCCCACGGGGGACGTCAGCTGACCCTGGAGGAGGAGGAGGAGGAGGAGGAGGAGGAGGAGGAGGAGGAGGAGGAGGAGGAGGAGGAGGAGGAGGAGGAGGAGGCGGAGGAGTCACCGATCCTGACCAGGCCCATGCCGGGCCCAGGATCGCTGCACGCGCCCAGGCTGGCCCCAGGATCGGCCCGGCCGGGGTCGGTGAGGTAGTCCGCGGACGCCCCCACCCGAGCCTCGGCTCTGGCGCGCCGAATGGGCGCGGCCGGCTCCACAATGTCCCGCTGTTGGGCCGCTGGCCGCGCCGAGCCAGGGGGCGCCGCACGCCTCCTCCGGGGGCGCGCAAACATGGATTAGCGATCCTCGATTCATGGGTCCTTGGCGCGCGGTCGCCAATAGATCTCTGGATCGGGGGAGGTGCCCTCCCCCAAAAAGCGGCCGGTGCCGCCTCGCTCGGCGGCGGAGATCCGCGATTTTCCATGGAAGCGGGACCCGTCGCTAAGCCACGCCCCCTTGATCCACGCAGAGATCCGAGGTCGTGATTTTTTCAGTGCGGGGCCCCCAGAAGTCTCGACCCATTCCCCAGGACCGGTTTTCCGTCCTGAACTGCGTTTTGACGGTCCCGGGGCCCGGCGAGGCCGACGCGATCATGTCTGGGTCGCTAAAATCCACGCCCCCTTGATCCTGACTCCTCGTTTGCGATCGCCTGACTCCTTGCGGCTCGCTAATCGGCTGACTCCTTGCGATCGCCTGACTCCTTGCGATCGCCTCACTCCTCGTTTGATCGGTCGCTAATCGTTCGCGACCGCCTGACTCCTCTTCGCCTTCCGGCTCGGGGGCGGCCGCTGCGCCGCCGCCTCCTCGGGCGTGGCCGGGCGGCCGTCCGGCGGCCGCGCCGCCCGCACGCCGCCGCCGCCCGCCGCGCCGGCGGGCTCCGCGGGCACCGCCGCCGCGCCGCGCGCCCTCTTCTTGCCACGCTTGCGCTTCTGATGGGCCTGTCTTCCACCACTACCACGATGAGTTGGAGGCGAGGAGGAGGAGAACGAGGAGGAGGAGGAGGCCGTAGCCATTTTGGCTCAAGGTGCCCCCAAGGGCGGCGGTGGTGGCACGACGACCCACAACGCCATGGCGAAGCAGCTGGCTGCACTCGAGAAGGAGCTCAACCAGTTGGTAGCTGGGCCTACTTCCACCGGAGTGCGTGGACGAGGCCCTGTTGGTGGACAGCAAGGTGTTGCAGCAGGCGCGCCAGCGACTCAGCGGGCATCTGGCACCACTGGAGATGTCGATGGCGATGACGAGGTGGCCAAGCTCCGCAAGCGTGCGGAAGCCTTGGAAGAGGCGTTGGCAGCGGTCATGAAGTCCCCAGACACCGCTTCTGCAATCCAGAAGTCCCTGAAGGATGAGTTGGCCAGCACCCGCCGCAAGATCAACGAAAGCAAGCCCGTGCTCACTAGGCAGAACAACCTGGGGCACAAGCTTGCGAATGCTCAGAAGCGACTACTTCGGCTCCAAGATGACGTCGTTGAACGCAGAAGGAGGCGGAGGAGGCGCGCAAGGCCCTTGAGGATGCCAAGGCGAAGGTTGTCGCCCTGCAGTCTGAGATCGAGGCCTGCCAGCTGGAGATGCGGAACACAATCCAGCAAGTTGCACCAGGCCCTGAGGTCAAGTGTTTCGTGTGTACCAGACTTGGCCCAATCCCAGCTGGACTCCTTGGATGAAGACGTCCGACAGCTTATCACGTCAGAGGCGTTCGGGAAGTTCAAACAGGTGCTACAGTCGATGTCTGCTGCACAGGCGGGGGCGACTGATGCGCCAGATACTCGAGGGGCTGGACTCCCTCACGTTTCCCAGCCTGTTCCCATGGACGAGGAGTTTGATGAGCTGGATTCGGGGAAGATCAGCGGACTCATGGCGGCAGCCAGGAGGCAGTCAGCAGACGCGGACTCTGACTTCAAGAAGCTGCTGCTGCAGAAGTGCGGGTAGCAGCGCTCTGCAGCATGTATACGGCGAGGCGGCGCTGAGGAAGTTCTGGGCCCACAACGCAATTGACGTGGAGTGGGACATCGATGGCTTCCAGATTCCTGCGCGGCAGCCGTGGAGGTGCTTTGACGATATGAGATTTGCTCCAGATGATGCCTGGAGGACCTACCCTGGAGGACAGGGCGTTTCTGCATCAACATCCTTGCCACCTTGCGCTGGATTACGCGATGGAAACTCTGTTCAGAACGATCAGCATGATGGGCACGACGGTGCGTACCATCAAGCAGCTCTGCCTCCGGAGCTTGGAGGGCATGCAGGCCTGCCGCTTGCTAACGTTTCCCGTCGAGAACGACGAACTGTTTCAATGCATGATGATTAGCCTCGAGCAGGCCCAGGTGCTGAACTTCCCAGGAGACAGAGGGCCAAACAGAAGTCTGAGGAAAGGGACGCCTGAGGGTTCTTCTCGTGTAATGCTGACACATGGAGTACCTGGGATATCGTTCTGGATTGGAGGATGGACGACATTCGGGGACCGAAGCCACAGTTTTGGGCTGGACAGGAAACGAGTCCAGGAGCGTTCCAAGTTTCTTCAGTACACAGGTCTGTTGAGAGCTAACTGACTGAACGCAGCCTTCTGCCCTGCCGTGCTCACTGGAGACGGTGTCCTGGAGACCTCGGCTGGAGTTCTAGCTGGAGGTTTATCGCACATCAACCAGCGCACGTTGTCGCTTGATTCTCTGGAGTCTGTTCCTGAAGCACAAGGTCGGGTGATTGCGAGACATGTGAATGGAGTGGTCGCTGGGGGGCTTGTTTGGCTTTCGGTTTACTTCTACCACTCGCAGGGGACTTCCAAGGACAACTTGGGGCTGATGTCTGGATTGGGCACGGTCTTGGGAAATCTGTCACTACTATGGGTCTTGGGATGTGATGCTTACATGTCGCCAGAACATGAAATCCTGGTGTCAAGAACTCGGTGCGACGGTGGTTGGCCCCCCTACGATTACATGGCCCGACAAAAGGGCGTTGCAACTCAGACCTAACCAAAACATGTCGTGGTGCCGTCCTGTTTCCTGGGGAGATCTTATGGGTACGTTGTCGGGGAAGACGTCGGTTGCCTGGACGAAGCACCACCATGCGTGTGCTCGTAATTCCTTCGCGTTAGGTGCTTGGCCGCAGGTTCGACTCAAGGAACATGGGCTTGCCTCAGAGGACTGCTGCCAACTGTGCCGAGAACAGCCAGGCACACTGTTCCACCGCAGGTTCCACCGCGTGGCGTTCTGGGGGGACAGGAAGACCCACCTCTCCGAGGAATGCGTGAGGGCGGCGGAAATGATGGACGAGATGGGGGAGGATCTGGAGAAATATGCTGCGGGGGTGTTTCCGTATCTTAACGAACTGAGTCCGCCGCCGTTGAGAGCAATATATTGTTCAGTTGTTTGGTTCAGCAAGCCGCCATCGGGCAAACTTCAGGGACTCATTTATTCGGATGGTTCTGCTTTGAATCCGACCTGTGCCTTCACTAGGAAGGCTGGTTGGAGCCTGGTCCAGGTCAGTGATCGGGGGGAAGTCCTCTCGGCGGCTTTCAGACCTGTCCCGAGAGAGTTTGCGCCCCACCAACAGGCTAGAGATGGTGAGGACTATGCATATATGATGGCCAGCGAGCTTGTGGACCCTTTTTCGGGTTTTGAGATTTGCACGGATTGTGCTGGGACCCTGGGATGCGTGTGGGACAGGGCCAAGAGTTGCTCGTCTCAAAACTCCAGGGCCCACGTTTTGGCCAAGGTCTGGCACGTTTTTGAAGACGGGCTCAAGACAAGAAAGGTCAAAGGACATGCCAGAAATGTAGATGTATTAAATGGCGATTGCAGCTTAGTTGACCCTTTAGGCAATCAGCATGCTGACAGGTATGCCAAGCACGGGGCAGAATTACACCCTTTGCCATGCAACTCAGTGGCCATTCTCGAATCTCTGCGGGCACTCCAGAGTGAGATTGTTCGGTGGGGTGCCACGCAAGATGTGATAATGGCGAGTAGAGGCTGGGCTGACACCACGGGGTTTCCTGAGCCCGTTGGGGCGTCCGATGTTAAGGTCCAGCCTAGCCTCGAGCAGCAGGTTAGAAGGTTTCGCAGAGAGGAACGGAAATCAGAGGCCGGTTGGAAACCCACGATTGATTTTCGTGTTCCGATCTGCCGCGACACTGCTCAGACAGCTGGAAGCGATGTCCATCTGTCGGAGTTGGAGCTCCTCGTCCGTCTGCAGGGCCACAATTTGTGCAAGGCAAGAGTCTTTGTTGCTGATGGGACTCGGGCGGCGGGGAGTGGGTGGGTGATTTCGTGTTTGAACTGTGGAGGATACGCCTGGACTGGCGCGGCCTCCCTGGCGGTGCCGTGCCCTGGCCATCCTCCCTCGAAGGACCTCCGCCAGCAGAGATCGAGGTTTTCCAAGGGGCTGTTTCCCAGTTGGACTCGGCAGTACGAACGCTGGACTGTGCTGGGTCACTGCTCGCCCTCTCCTTCGGATCTTGTGGAGCTGATCAGATCAGCTCGTAAGGGGGTCCAGGCTTTGAGGGAGAAGTGCCAGAGGTTAGATTCGTAGCCAGTCTCTGGGAGGAGAAGTGGGACGATGCCCTGCTCCTCTCGAAAGTCGTGCTGCTTATGCAAGCTCAGGACGTTCAAGGCAACTGCGCCTGAGGTGCTTTGTGGTAGGGGCAAGTGGCATCGACGCTTGCCTCCAATGAGAACAGAACAGAGGAGGAGGAGGAGGAGGAGGAGGAGGAGGAGATGGCGGAGGAGGAGGAGGAGGAGGAGATGGCGGAGGAGGAGGAGGACCCCATCCCCCTCCAACTTATGGTGGTGGTAGTGGTGGTGGAAACAGGCCCATCAGCTTCTTCGGCACCCTCGCCAGCGCTGGCGCCGGTGCGGCCTCCTCCCTGGCGCTCCCAGTGGCCAGGGGTGCCGCGGGCATCGGCTCTGGCCCTTCAGGCCGCGCCGCCGCGTGGTCCCGCCGGCGCGTCCGCTTGCCGAGGCGCGCGGGCTGCGCCGGAGGCTCCGCTGCCGGCCTGGCCGCAGCCGCGGAACCCCTCTGCGCCTGCTGCTCCACCTGGGGAGCGTCGGCGCCAGGGCCTCCCGCAGCGGCCCGCTCGGCGCCCGCCTTCCTCCTGCGTTTGCGCTTCGCGGCCCTGTCGGCGCGCCCCTTCGGGGTCTCGGGCAGCGGGGTGCCCCGGATCCTGGCGATCTCCGCCGCCTCCTCGGCGAGGCGGGCCAGGTGCTTCCTGGCTGCGCGGGCGTTGTCGACGCTGAACTCGCGGCCGTCTGCGACTACCACGCGCACCACGCGGCCGCCCTGCTTCGGCTGGACGCGGGTGCCTGGGATATTCTCGTACTTGCCCCGGGCGATCGACCCCGCAATGGGAGCGGCGTTGGGGCGCCTGTAGATCCACTGGACCCCTCGCGGACGACCGGGCCGCAAAGGCGATGAGTCCTACAAATTGAATGGTGTGACCTTATTTTTTAGCGTTGAGATGCCCCGTAGCTTTAGGTCAGGCATGTCCCCCGACAGGCGGATTTTCGGCGCAAAATAGAACATAGCCAGACAATGCCCCCAATTTGTCAAAATATAATCGAAAAATCGTCCCCGTATTATTTTTTGACTATTTTTGAATGTTCCTCCTGTAGAGGGGCATTCCCGACTTAACCGTAGCTGGTGGCCACGGAGGTCTTTGCTCCCGGGAACCCGGTCTGGTCAATTTGGATCCTCCCTCCTCCTCCTCCTCCTCCTCCTCCTCCTCCTCCTCCTCCTCCTTCCTCTCCTCCTCCTCCTCCTCCTCATCCTTTTCATCCTCCTCTCCTCCTCCTCCTCCTCCTCTCCTCTCCTCCTCCCCTCTCCTTTTCCTCCTCCTCCTCCTCCGCCTCCTTCTCCTCCTCCTCCGCCTCCTCCTCATCCTCCTCCTCCCTCTCCCTTTCCTCCCCTCCTCCTCCTCCTCCTCCTCCTCCTCCTCCTCCTCGTCCCTTTCCTCCCCTCCTCCTCGTCCTCCTCCTCCTCCTCCTCCTCCTCCTCCAGCCCTTTCTGGCCCGAGTCGGGTCTGCAGGGGTAGAAACATTGGGAAGGGCTATTTCTCTCCTGCGAGCCAAATTTTGGCGTTTGGGTTTCCTGGGTGGCGTCCCCAAGATTCCTGGACTACAAACGGTTACTGCGGCCTGGTTGGCCTTACATCCGTCACGGCGCCGCCATGTCGCGCCGCTTCGCGGCTGACCCCTGGCGCTGCAAGGATTGCGTCACGAGGGACGGCACGCCGTGGATCAACCGTGGCGACCTCAAGCAGTGCTCCACATGCAACCTGCATAGAGGAGTCTGCTACGGTGGTCCCAAAACGCCCAAAGGGAGCCCTGCGACCAAGTCCACGGGCTCACCCAAGGCATCTAAGGATAAGTTCGATACCGCCTCCATGGCTAAGCAGCTTGCCGACCTCCAGGCCATGGCCAAGAAGCTCACGGTCGCCAAGTCGCCTGCTCTTGGGCTGCTGCTGCTGCTGCTGGGGGGAGTGCTTCTGCTGCTGGGGCGGGCTTCGGATTGGACAGTGGGTACCCCCTATGTGGCTCCCACTGGTGACAGTGGAGGCACCGCTGACCCGTCGGAGCAGCAGGTCAAGCGTGACCGCATCAAGAAGATCAATGCGTTCCTTAAGTTCTATGATGGATCCTCCGTGGCCTCGGACCTGGCGCAGGTCAAGTCCCTCACCGAAGAGAAGGAGCACTTGGGCAAGGAGCTCGACGCCGAGCGCCCCTTGGAGGATCAGGTCACCCCCCCCACCACGAGGCTGCGGAACTCCCGTGCCAAGGCCAATCGCCTTCGCGAGGAGCACGCTAAGAAGCAGCTGGTCATCGACGAGCTGGTTGCCAAGCAGACGGTGCTCCAGGACTCCTTGGCCGAGGCAGATGCCGAAGTCTTGCGGCTGGAGGAGGAGGTCCAGCGCTTGGGCGCCGACCGAGCCCACCCGCCCACTGCTGGCAAGCCCACGCTCCATGAGCTGCTGCCGATGTTCGCTGTCAACGTCCAGCAGCTCGGCGAGTTGGCCGTGGAGCTCGGCTTGGACCCCAGCCTTCAGGCGGAGCTGGAGACGGCGGCCAAAGTCTTCGGGAGGCTCCATGAGTTTCCCCTGGCGAAGCCGCCGGCGGCACAGGTGCCCTCTGCTGCCCCTGCTCCTGCGACCCCTGCCGGGGAAGAAGGAGGAGGAGTTGCGTCCACCGCCGTTTTCCTCGCGGGCCAGGTGCAGGCCCTCGCTGAGGAAGCTGCCAGGGACGACGTGGAGATCGACATCGACCTCATGGAATCCGCCGAGCTGCGGGAGGCGTTGGAGGCGGCAGGACTCGCGCAGCCTGACGGCGCCACCGACGCGGACATGCGGGTGGCGTACAAGCGTGTCCTCGACCCCTTCACGCATGCGGCTACGGTGCACAAGAGGAAGAAGAAGAAGGCTCGATCAGCCCCTTTCTGAGGGCAGCGCCTGCCAGCGCGGCGACACGAATGGCACGTGGTATGTGCAGACCACGCGATGTGAGTGCTATGCGTCAGCCTGTTGTGACGGGCTGCGCGGCCATCAAACTGACAGGAAATCCGATGGACGGAATGTCAGCTGTGGCCTCCCGTGCAGCGACAGCAAGTACCATGTGCAGGCTGCCAACTGGGGCCTTCCTGGCAGGAAGTGCCATGCACGGAATGTCAGGGTTAACGTGGGGCGCCCATAGGGCAGCACGTATTATGTACACGTTGCTCCTAGGTCGTGTCCTGGCGCCATGGGTCCGCCTCCACTGGACGAAGAGCACAGTGTGTCTCCTGCCAGTTGCGGAGGACCCCCTGGAACTCCCGGCGCGGAGGAACCCCTCGAATTCCCGGCGCTTGTGCCTTCAACCTGTGCTCCAGTCCACGCGTCTTCACCGTGTGCGGCGCGCCCGCGTGGATGGACCTTGGTGCTGTTCTGGTGTCTATTCACCCTGTTCGAGGTGGGTTCTGCCGGAGCCCCCGACAGCGGTGGGGGGGGGGAAATTCTGTGGCTGACCAGTCCGCGGGCTTGCTCCGCAACTGGCGGAAAGCACCACCTCCATACCGAGCTGGCGGCAGCGACGCAAGCGTGCCAGAGGGTCGCGATCCCTTTGCGCAGGGTCGCAGCACGGCCATGCCTGATGCTGGCGACGCGCGCTGTCAAGTGGCGGCCAAGCTGGTCGCGGTCAACCCTGGCTCTCACGGGCCACTTCTCAATTTCCTGCCGCACTTCCTCGGCGAGGTGGCGATGGTCCAGGAGACGCGGGCGGTCGACCAGCGGCTTGGGGCCGTTCAGTCTGCTGTGCGCGATGCAGGTTGGCACAGCCTCTGGGCTCCTGCCGAGGAGACGGGAGGAGCGTCCGCGGCGTCGTGCTCAAGTGGAATCCGCGTGCTCGTGCGTACCAGCGTGATGGTCACGATGCCCCCCGACGGGGATCATGTCGTCTTTCCACATCATGATGTGGCAGCTCATGTTCACTGGGGTGCCCATGGTGGTCTGATTGCCGTCCGCGTGTACATGGTTCAGGGCGTCGGCGTCACTGGGGCCAATCTCTCGATCCTGTGGGCGCTTGCGAAGCGCGTGGCGGCGTGGAACGCACGCGGCCTCGACTGGATCATCGGGGGCGACTGGAACGCCGACGGCCAGAGCATCAACATTGGCGACTGGGTTGGGCCCTTGGCAGGCACTCCCCTCCAGCCGTCGGCCTCTACGTGCGTCACCTCCAACGGAGCGTCCACCATCGATTGCTCCTTGGTGGCCAGCAACCTCGCGTCCCGTGTCTCTCGCCAGCCCGAGGTGATACATGGATGCGGGAGCATTCCCAGACCCCGCTACCCTGCGGGTCTGGAACTGCATGGGAAGAATACGCCGACGGGATGCCGCGCCCCCCGATGAGCCTCGACCACTGCCTGTTGTACCCTATTGGCTGTACTCGCTTCCCCTGTCCTTGGCATACCTTGGATCGCCTATTTGTGCGAGCAGCCACCGCGCCGCACAGGGTTGCTGGCGCGGACCATGTCCAGTCCAGGCCCGATCGGGACCGATGCAGGTCCTTCGACCACTATGGTTCATTAGGTAAACTTAAGCGCGATCGATCGGGACGCGCGGGCCAACGTTACCGCCGTCGGACCTGGGCCCATGGACAGGCCGTCGGCGGGGCAGGCACACCTGATGATGTCTTGCAGCAGCTCTGGGACTCCGTTCTGCAAGGTATTGACTACAAGATCGCAGGCAGGCACGACAAAGTTGACCCTGGAGCCCACCGTTTCGTCGGGCACCACGGCCCCCCAAGGTGAAGTGGCGGCAGCTGCGGCGGGGGCCACCTCGCCAGCGGCTGTGCCACGACACCACAGTCTGGGCTTGGGCTACTGCGGCACGCTGGGCTACTCATTTTCGTGCTGAGCGTGATCGGGTCCTGCGTTTTTGTCACCGGTTGAATGCGGCGGCGGCGCATGCGTGTCCAGCTCCCAGGCAGCTGCAGAAGACGGCCAGTGTTTTCCACGACGTCCTCTGCTTCCTGAGCTCCATTGTCGGGCCGGGTGCAGTCCTAACCAACATCGACCCCTGCTACCGCCAATTCTTCCTGCGCGGGCTGGACGGGCTGATTGCGGAGAACTTTGATGACATGGTAGATGTCATCGTGGGCAGCGCGGAGGACCTCACTGCCGCGGCTCGCGGCGCGTCGGAGAGCCTGGCGCAGCTGGGCCCAGGCGGCCCTCAATGGGGGGGCGAAGGCTGCCCATGTTGCGTCCGAGGTCAGGGCGCAGCAAGAACTCGTTGCCCCTGAGGCCGACGCCCAGCCATACATCCTCGCGGACCGCACCATGGACGAGCGGAAGCGGATCTGGGCGACCCATGGGCTGGAAGAGCTGCCTCTACCCACGGATGCACCTACGTGAGAGGAGCTGCCTTGCCTGACGGTCCATGACCTACGGCAGGCCATCCGATCTTCTCTCTCGCCACATCCTCGGGGCCCACCCGCATTCCACCCAAGGCGCTCGAGCACTTATCGGATGAGGCTCTCAGTAGGTTGGCCCAGCTGTTCGAAGTCTCTGAGCTGCACTTATGGCTTCCCTCAGATCGCCTGTATAGTGAGATGGTCCGTCCCCCTAAGCCAGATGGTGGCCACAGGCTGATTGTGCTTAGCCATACTCTCATACGAGTTTGGGCGAAAGCACGCCGATGGCTGTCGGCCGAGTGGCAGCGACAGCATACTTGCGACGGAATGTGGGGTACTCGAGGCAGCCACACATCCACGGCCTCGGCTTTCGCTCGCAATCTGGAGCAAGAGGTGGGAAGCCTCATCGGCGACCACACTTGTACCATCCTCCTTGACATGGTGAAATGCTTCGGCATGGTGAGTCTCCATGCGCTCATGCGGGAGGCAC